AACGACCTTCTGAAAAGTTGATAGTAAAGACGGTCCAAGAGACCTCTAAGCATATTAAAAGAGCTAAACCAAACACATTTTAAAATACTTATCAAAAGTAAATTAAAAATGTAATCTTCCTTAGACTTTGGGCAAGTAAGAGAGTTCTAGATATGCTATGTCATTTGTGAGGCAGGAAAACAAGAAAAACAGAGTTGAAAGAATTATTACAGAAGAAAACTGCTGTGAGAACACTTTGCTGAACAAGATCTGCTTGTATCTGTAAAAAAGAAAAAAAAATCACTTCAAAGCTAAGGCTCACATACTTTGCCTTTTAAGAGATTGCATCTCCATCTTCAATATGCAGCACCAGTTTCAATATAGCTGTTTTAAAAATGGTTCCTAGTCAGCTTGACAGCGTCTGACTGCATTGGGAAGTTATTTCAGAGGCACTTTGCCATGCCTGTGTGGCTGCAATAGTTACCAGAGCTTGCTTTGTTCATATTTGGTTTGAAATGGCTTTTCCTTCTAGGAATGGAAATACATAAACAGTCACCTAACATTTTAACAACATCCAAAGTCTCCAGCATAGCAATACTTGGCAACTTTTCCTCCCCTCTCTGAATGCTGAGTTTACACAAGAACCTTAAACTCCTGGGTGTTCTCTATACAATGTAAAAAGTTGACTTTGGATTCCTAGATGAAATTTCCATTGAACTTTCCCATGTTTATTCTTTTGGGATGAATAAAGCAATTGAAAGAACTGTTATATTTCAGAAATCCATGTATAGGGATAGATTGTCTCTTGGTAAGTCAGCGAAAGTTGTCATATGGATGTACACGCTTTGTGCAACTGAAGAATTTTTACTTTAGGAATTAGTTTTTAAATCATGGATAGAAATTCTGCACCAAAAAAGTGACCTCATAGAGATCCTGAGATAATGCTCTTAATGATAGCATAATCACTGCAATAAAGCCACAAATCTGTTACATTCCCAGCATAAGCCTTTAAAGCTTTTATCTGCACAGGTCCAAATTCCTTCTCTGACCTAGCATCTGGAGAAGCCTCCTTCTTCCCTCCTCCTCCTCAATGCTTGTGAGGAAGAACAGAGAGACTGGTCTTCTAAATTACGTTTCTGTAACTGTGTGGTGTAGTTAGGTGCATGTTACAGATCTGCTATCAGATCTGTACTATTTATTTCTAGAATAATGCTCTTATTCATTAAACTGGTGGATTTTTAAGCTGAATATTCACAGCAAGTAATGCAACTTTGAGTTTTAAATTTAAAAAAACCCGTTGATTATCCAGACAAGCTTCAAACTAGTGAGTCAAGTTACTTTGCAGCTGGTTCTCTTGAGAAATGTTGCTTAATCAGGTCAGCTGGTCAGCCACGAATGTTTATTCTATAATTGCAAAATACAGCTTCAGGATATAAAACATCTCGCTTGAGTCACAGCGTCCTTCTGTAACTGTAAGCACATCATGTGAGCCCATACAGTCATCTAAAAACATGTAAGGGAGTCACAGAAGATGATCTCATTTAATAATCCCATGATATACCTATTTTTTAACTCTAAATTAATTTACATTATTCCTTGCCTGAAGACATAACTTGTGAGCCAGGGACTTCAAACTCACTTCACAACATAAGTATATCTAACTGATTATGAAAAAAACCTTACAGATTTAAACTAAATAATAAGACATTGCCTTGCCACTTCCAGTGTGATAATATGATCTGCAGCAATTGAGTAATTTCTAACTTATTTACCTATATAAAAAAGTCTGTTTCTAATATGATCTTTGTTTAACTATGAAATATCAAACATTTTCTGAGCTGTGGAAAGAGACAGTAATAAAAATAAAAAATGCTTCTCTTCTGAAAAAATCCAGAAGAGAAGCATTCATTTATCAGTAAAGATAGCATTTAGATATGAGTTGGTATAAAACAGACACATGCAGTTCTTAGAGATAAGACCTTATTTAATGTGTGATAAGACCATACCATTTTCCTGAATTGTAACAACTAAAAAAAAAAAACCTAATACAAAATATGAGAATGTATAGAATGAACTAGATTTTATCTCTTTTACTCCTTTTCTCCTTCTGTATGTTAAATTAAATGTTTATTTTTAATTCCCAATTTAGAAAAGGTTTTTCTTAGAAAAATGCAGCTCTCTGTAACAGAGCAGACTGGAAGATCACAAAGTGTAGGTATTTTTTAAGTAGCAAAGAGTCTGTCAAAGGCCAAGATCTTTTCAGTCCTTTCCTCCAAGACCTCTAAATGAACACTGGCATCAGCTGGGTGGTGTGGGAAGGTAAGAGCAGGTAGTGAGATAACGTACAGTTGGCAATGTTACAGGGAACAGTAAACATCAGGCTTCACAGATGACATTTTGTTCTTAAGAAAAAAATATTTATGGGATCCTTATTAGGCAGAAGACGACTGCACATGTTTTGCAGCCATCTTTACTTAAATGAGTCATTAAAACACTTATTTGAAAGTAGTCATGCATTCCAGCAGGACTAGAAATAAAACAGACATTTATAAATATCTTGCACATCTCCCCAGACAGTCAGTCTCACATAAAAAGCACACATGCAGTTGGGGAAGCAGCAGACAGCTGAATATAGCCAAGGCTGACTTCAGTAGCTCAAGAATACAAGAACTGAATATCAAAAGACACATCTGTTAAAACATCATTTAATCTTTAAAACATCATTCATTATCAGCTCAACTGCAGTGAAAACACAGTCTGAATTACCAAATTATGGAGTGTCATATAAAGCTACATATGTTTTAAGTGAAATGATAAGGGAAAGAAATTATCCAAGTAGTATAATCTGCCTTGAATTTGCTCATTTTCAATAAGGAAATGAACACTTTCCTAAAAAAAAAAAAAAAAGAAAAAAACCCACACCAAAACACCAGACTTCATTACAGTATTAGTAAATAAATCTGTACTTTTCAAGAACATACAAATATCAGGACGCTCAAGGGGCACTTGGATCATCACTGTCACTGTTCAGAATAGCTAAATATATCATCAGAATGGAAGCTCACTATCTATGTGCCAGAGTAACAAGCTTTTCAAAGTAGACCAGTGGAAAATCCACCGGGAACACAGAGAGTTAGTACAATGTTATTTATATGCACCGTTAAAAGGAAAATAAAATGTAAGCTTGGGGTGATACACATTAATGATTAAAACAAATCCATAAGGTTTCAGTCTACTCATTCTTTATTAAAAGAGAGGCTGAGGAGTGGCTTAGTTGCATCATGGAGAATGCAGAAGTCCCTGTTTCTCAGTGTATTTGTGCTAACTGCATGGCACTAGTGTAATTTGTTTCAAGTTAACTGTACAGATCCATAAATTTGTTAGTGGCAGAGCAATGTGAACTAGGATTTCACCCTTAATATCTAGATGGAGAAAGATTTAGGGCATCTTTTCAAATCCTCTGCAGACAAAAGTTCGCTGTAACATTGGGGGGGGGGGGGGGGGGAAACCAAAACCAAAAACTCAACTTCCCTCTCCCTGTCCCTACCTCCCAAATCAAGATTCTTCCCTCTCATCTTGAGTGTGCTTAGGATCAGACTGAAGAATGGGGCTCAGCAGTCTAAAAATCCCTAAAGGGGGCTGGTGGGTTGTTCCAATTGCTGTTGCAAGCTGTGTCTCTCCACTTACAGAGTGATGCTCATCTGAACTATCATCTAATTTAATGGTGTTTTTCCTCCACAGCTCTGGGGAAAAGGTAAAAAAGTACATGCACAGGCAGAGGTGCTCCTTGAGCAATGTCCTATAAGGCAATACATATCAAAATAAGGGGCAATGAGACCAGCTTAGACGAAGACAATTTCTAGACACTTTTAGCACTTCCTGGAAGGCCAATAAAATCACCACGGTGGTAACTACTGAAGGGGGGAAAAAAAGGAGATGACTTTTCTTGCTAGGGGCAGCACCTAAGAGCCACAGATCGTTAAACAGGTTTAAGTAAGCATTCTTGAGGTCTTTTTGAACTTTTTAATGTGTATAGAAGTGGGAATTCTTGTTTTCTGCAGCTGGCCAGATGTTCCTGACTCACTCTTGTCAGTCACAAGGCCAAAATGATTTTTACATTAACAACAACAAAACCATGAAGCCATAAACCTTCTCCCTCAAGTACCTCCCACTGAAGAATTTGTGAGCAGTAATTTGTTCCCTTTAATCTTGCAAGCTCCTTATTTTCAATCCATGCCTTGAATGGGAAAAAATCCCTCAAAACTCTTTCTCTTAACAGAGCTATGCACATACAGCTCACTTATCTCTTCCTATGCCAGAAAATCATATAGAAGGCTCCAAAGCATTGTTCCAGTTTGCACTTGAAGGCACTGGTATAGACAAGGTTCTCAAACAGCAACCACCACAAATCTCAAACTCTGTGGGCTGATGTTCAAGGGGCGGAGTGAGACAGAAACATCTTTCCTTCTTTCATACAACTTCCTCATTACCATAAATACAGACACTGTATAGAGAATAAAAGCACTGCAGTAGCCTATGAAACAACAATTAGGCAGTGAGGCAGGCACTTTGACAATTACTGATTTTTAAGATGGCTGTAGACACATATATATAATGCTTCCTTAGACTGTATACAAATTATGTTTGTATAAAATGCCTAGAATATAAATACTTGTATAGGTAAAGGTCTACACTCTTCAGGTTGCTAAAACAAATCCAAAACTAGAAAGAAGAAATCCATTCTTCTCTGCTCTCGTAACACACGGCTAGGATTCCAAAGACAGTCAAATTCAGCTAATGAGATAACAAAAATGTACCCATGTTTTAACACAATTAAAACAACCATTTGCTCTCTTAATTTAAAATACACTTTTAGTCTACATTAAACAGTAATTTGTATTGCATTATGTCAATTACTGCAGTTTTGGCTTACATTCAGCTATGTTAGAAAACCCCTGCAGAAATCTGCCAAGAGGAAAATAAGATACAATTACTTTTATTTGAAGTATAAGATTACATACCTTGGCCTCCGAAATGCTAAACCATATTGCTGGCAAGCCAGTCCCACGGTGGGAGTATAAACAATAGGCATGAACCTTTCAATGTCAGAAGTCAGCACTTTATAGAAAAGCTTTTCATTTCGATCCTGAAGACCCATTAGCAGAATATATCTGTGGACAAATATAATTAGACAGACATCAGGTGAACATATAAAGAAAATTTAGAAATAAAAGGTGTTTAGATAGATAATTAAAGGTATGTTTGTTCTACAACAGCATCTTTCTTGTCTAGAGTATTTGAATTCCTCCTTGTCTTAATAGCACCAATGTTTCAGATACAAAGGATAACAAACTGATTGAGACAGAGAAGCTGAAACCATTACCAGGGTTGACATACTCTACATGCTCAGGAAGCCAACCCCTCTCAGCTACAAAATACTACGCTGCAATTGCATATTCAGTCTGTCAGAACCTAATCTTTAGGTATCAGCTGTTTCAGTTGAAATGAGACTGTCATTAATAAAACTTAAATTCACCCTTCAATCTAAAAATGTTAGCTTTCTCTACTCTTGTCCTTGATAGAAATTTCTCCTAAATCCAGACTAATACTTCAAATAAATACTACACCTGAATACTGCAGACAAAGCTTTCAAAAGCAAAGCTCACACATGTACCTTTCAATCCTGAAGCCTATGTTTGTAATGAAATCTGCAATGTGTTATCTCCTAATGGAAATCAATTTATGGCATTTGAAGAAGTTTTATATTTATTTGAGAAGAAAACCAATGGAAAAAAAAAAACAGTCATGAGAATGAAAAAAGTTTAAGCTTAGCTTGACCTACTTTGGAGTACCATCACTCTGATATTGAATTAAGACACTACTGCTCCAAGATCCCAACACGGAAGCCAAATTTCAGTGCTCAGTATGACAGATGATACGAGTCTATGAGTGACTTCAAGTTATACTAATTGACACAGGTATGACTGGACAGTTTCTGAATGCTTAATATTTAGGGCTTTGATGATCCTAAACCTCACTTCTCCATTCACTAGTTTTAGTATGGTTAAGTATTACATTAAGAACTATGGATTCTTCTATACCAATAGACTGACATAAAAACTTCTAACTTAATTTATGCATACAATTTACATAGGGCTTTTTAAATTTATGATGGATTACTAATTACTTAAACTTTTTGAGTGTAATATGCCCATCATTTTATTTCATAGGTGTTGAGGAAATGTATACAACACATTGATTCGAAAAGCATGGAGGTCTGCGTGTTTAAATATTATTCACATGAACTTTGCTTCAACATACTCCTGTACCACATGCACCAATAAAATCTAATTCATACTTTAAGACAACACAAATATAGTCAGTTAACTATGTAATACAGAACAGTTTAGTAAATCTGCACTTGTTTTGTCCAAGCTTAGCTTTGTGTACCCCTGTATATCAGGGAAGCTTTTCTTTCCCGATCCGCTACATAAACCTTTAGCAAGCATTCATCATAAGCTAGGCTAGGCAGCAACTTTGGCAGCCGGTGACTAATGTGATGACAGAAGTGAGGCAAAACAGTGTCCTTCCCCTTGTGTCACTCAGGGTGCTTTAGACCTTAAACAGATGAAGAGCTAGTAACTGAAGACTTGAAGATGTACTCCAAATACCATCACCATGAGGCATCTTGAACCACCTTCCATCACACATACTAGATTTGAATGTTCTCCAAGTTTAAATTATATCCTGCACTTGTAGATCTCAACTACAAATATACTATTTTTCTTTCATATTACTACATTTCCTTGCTAACCTTCATTTTCCCAGTATTTCATTACTATACAGTCTATCTTTGAACGTCCTTGAATTCCTGGAGCATTTTCTTTATTAACACCTTTCGACTGTGGATGATTATCCCAATATTTACCTTGAAATGTAAGCTCATTCACATACAGTTGTGAATAGATGAAGACATTTATTTTGTTTCCAGGAGATCTTAAGTGATGTTAAAGAACACCATGCATGCCCTGCTCTATACCGAAGACTGCAAGCATTCGTGCAAGTCCCATCCTTACGTTTCAAAGCAGTTGTCAGTATGGTTCTTTCCTTTTATCGCTTTGATTTAAAATGAGATGCAGCTATTTAAGACTTTAAAATACCTTTTCATCATCCTTTCTTATTACTCAGACAAGCCTTGACTTTAAATGGGGTAAAGACACCTTTTACAAAAGAAATTAAAAGTTTAGCAAAAGGCTTCCCCAAGGGCTTTAAATCAAAAAACTTTAATAAAACTCTCCATTTTGTTTTTATCATCCTTTCGCATTAAAACGACATTTTATTTTCTTAATTGCATTTCTCATGACACTTGTATGTTTGGGATATGCTAAAGAAATGGCAAAGATAATAACTACATGCTACTTATAATCACATTTTCAAATATTACAAGCTTGGCCATAACCAAATCAGCACAAGAAATATTATGAAGTGAAAAATATTTCTTGAGCACTGCAATTTTGATCAGAAGGCTACTTTTCAGTGGCAGGTATAAAATATCTCTTCTTTCTCAGCATAGTAATTTGCTCAGGGGTATCAAGTTTCTCAAAAATTCTCTCTTAAGGAGAAAACCAAAACTGCTTCACCCTCAATGTGGAGTTGGTTATAATGCATTAGACAACAAGTATGCATCTTTTAGCAACATCCAAGTAATCTACACAACTAAAAGTATTAAGTAGTTTTCAGCATTGTGTTTTAAAAAAAGATGTATTTAAAAAGCCGTATTTCATGGAATCTTTTACTGAAGCCACGTTTAATTGAAAACATAGTGAAAACAAGCAATAAAACACTGAAAACAATCATTTGTCCTATAAAAAGGGAAAAAATTAGTATCTGTTCTCAGACAAAGTCTTGAATGAAGATTTCAGAGAAAAGTTTCAGAGGAGGAAAACCAAGGTCTGGCAAGTGAGCCCAAGGGGATTGCCAAGCATTCAAATTGCCTTTACTTCAATATAAGAACTTTTTATGCTAGTCTGCTATTACAAAGGAAATTAAATAGGGGAGTAACAAAAGGATATGAACAAATATCATCCAGAATCCAAAAGAAAACTGGTATAACTACTAGAAAATTAATTATAATTTCTTAGGATAAATGGCTCTACTATCACTGGAATGTACTTTAAAAGGCAAAATGGAAAGGTAGAAGAAAAAACAGGCCAAAGCTTGTTTGTTCTTGCAAAACATGAGAGCAAATAAAGGAAAGTGGGAGAAAACACTATTATTTTTAACCTGTGTAATGTACTTAGCTCCATGAGTGGGGAGTACTGCATACTCCAGGTGGGGAGTACTGCATCCAGCTGTGGAACCCACATCATCAGAAGGATATAGATCAGTTGGAGCAAGTCCAGAGGAGGCCACGAAGATGCTCAGAGGGCTGGAGCAGCTCTGCTATGGGGACAGGCTGAGAGAGTTGGGCTTGTTCAGCCTGGAGAAGAGAAGGCTCCGGGGAGACCTTATTGCACCTTCCAGTACCTGAAGGGGCTACAAGGAAGCTGGGGGGACTTTTTACAAGGGCCTGTAATGACAGCACAAGGGGTAATGGGTTTAAATTGAAAGTGGGGAGGTTTAGATTGAGTATCAGGAAGAAATTCTTCATGGAGAGGGTGATGAGGCACTGGAACAGGTTGCCCAGAGAAGCTGTGGATGCCCCATCCCTGGCTGTCTTCAAGGCCAGGCTGGATGAGGCTTTGAGCAACCTGGTCTAGTGGAACGTGTCCCTGCCCATGGCAGGGGGTTGGGACTAGATGGTCTTTAAGGTCCCTTCCAACCCAAACCAGTCTGTGATTCTATGGTTACTCTGCATTATCAGTATCTTTACAGAAATGCTATAAAAGGTAGTGAACTTCAAGAAAAAAAGAAAAAAACACAGCATGCTCAGGAAAAGAGATCTGATTGCACCTCTCCTCATGTTCACACATACAGTAAAAAAATTTTACCAGTGCGCCTCTTTGGAGAAAGAAAGGCCCAGAAGATGTGTCAGGGACAATGATTTCAGTGTCAATACAGAGCAAGACGACAGACAATTAGGAAAAAACAGGGTGGGGAAAAAAAATCAAATTATTTGCAAAACCCATTGCAGCTTTTCAAAATTATGCTAGGGAAATAGAATTATTTCTTGTTATTGGCCTCCTTTTTGCCAAGCATACCAGGCAACACATTTGCTGCTGTTTTACATTCATCTTCTATACGCACTCTTGGTATTTCAGAGGACAGCAATTCCACGCTGCAAGTCGGCAAAGGAGTTTCAGCTGTGCCAAAACATGTCATGCCACAGTACTATCAGCTTAGCTTTGTGAATTTGCAAACACCCTCTTTCCAACCAAACCCAGGGCAAGCTACAATCCTGGCAGTGTAAGCTGCTGTCATTAGGGAAACATTAATGTTTCATCATACAATACCCTTCTGTCTAAGGGTACTTAATAGCTTCTACCTCTGCAATATTCAAATCCTTGCCCTTCATCTTTTGTATTTGGACATAAAACACCCACTATCAAATCCTACCTCTACGAGGGAAACTCATACTTGCTTTCCTTTATCTCTTTTCAATCACTGCTCCTAAGGGAGAGAAGGATATGCCAGATGCATACTGGAAGAAACGTTTTATTTCTAGAATTAGTACATTTACATTTAGGAGAAGGCAATAGCTGCATTCCCTTACACAAGGTTGTCCTTCAGCACCTGCCTGTACAGGGAGCACGGAGTTTCTGGGGTTTTTATTCACATTCCAAATAAAATAGGCCATGTATTTTGGAATTCTCTATCAGTGAAGGTATTCAAAGAGTATCTGCACCAGGATCAGAGCCACTTCTGCCATTAAAATGTTTTGATACGAGTACAGGAGACCAGAGTTCACATATTGCCTTGAAGGACAGTATTTTTTTTTATTCAAAACATACTTTTGAGCTCACACACATGTAATGCACATGTTCTAAGAGCAGGATCTCTACTGGCATCCTCCAGCAAAGTTTTCAGACACCTGACTTATAAACACAGCTGCAAATCATATTTTGCATGTGCAAGCTTTTGCACACTCAATTCAAACAATTGTTTTATCTCTACAAAGGACCCCCCGTATGTCACTGTTGACAGCCTTCTGCATGCAAACGTTACCAAGACTTCCAATCAGTGGTCTTAAATGTAAACCTACACATGCAACACACAAACTATTTTGCTAAAAACCAGAATACACCAAAACAACATAATGCCCATTAATATAAGAGGAATTTCTTTTTTTAAAAATCAAAGTACAGCATGATATGAATGGTCATTTTAGGCCTGCTGGGTGTTCCTACAGAATGCAAATGATTTCTTAAAGAAACAAGTTCATCTGGGGTGGGGCCGGGGGGTGGGGGGGAAATAATGACTTGTGGATTTGTATCATCTGAATTGCTTAAGAGCCAACCTGACTTAATTCACACAAATTTGCACTGATTCAAGATTACCCTGAAAGCTTATTTCTTAACTGACAAGGGCCTACATTATGAAACTGCAGACTAGCTGAGGTTGGAAAGGACTTCTGGAGACTACCTCATCTAATCCCCTGATCAAAGCACAGTCAGGTAGAACAGGACCATATTCAGCCAGGTTTTGAATATCTCCAAGGATGGCAACTCCAGCCTAGTTTATCCAGCATCATAAATGGAGCCACACTGTAAGGGGAAGGAGAAGATACAAATACATGGATAAAAAATTATGGTTGAGAAAATACCTGCCACATGGCACAGAATAAGATGGAAATAAAAACAGGTTTTAATTTTTTTTCTTATGTTAACATCTAAGTTCTTAAGTATTTTGGCTAGTAATCACGTTATTGAGGAAAAAGCCTAACTTAATAGTTTCAAGTTATTTCTATGAACCAAAGGCTTACTAGTTTTCTCAGCTGAAGTACGCCACTAAAACCCTATTTAACAACAAATTCGTTCTGCAAAGCAGAATATAGCCTTTTTACTAAAACAGGCATTATACTAAAATCCGGCTTTATGGTATAAAATGGCAAGTTACAGCCTAATGCTCAAGATACATGGATGTAATATTGCAGTGTCTGCGCTTGTGTTTTAAGAATGTCTGGTCACAGGAGTAGGAAACAAATTCCCTCCCCACCCAACTATTTATTTGGAAAAGAAAATGCAAAAGACAACTCGTAGGTGGGAAATAATGATACTGAGGTTTTGTTCAATTAGTTATATACAGACATGAAGGTTAACAGGGACAGATTTCTAAAAAAATATCTAAAGCAAATGGCTTCTGGAAAGCCTTTTATTTGCATTTATTTGTAAACATATTTACATTTATTTATACTTATGACTTATTTGTGTCTATCATATGTGGATTAGGTGTAGTTAAAAAAACAAAGTTCTTTTCCTCCTCCACCCTCAAAACAGAGGCATTTTTCTTTTCTTTTAACATGATAAAGCAAGTTTTCTGCAAAGTACTCCTACAATACTCGGAAATGGTTATTTTTATTAGACGGTTCCCACTGTGTTCAAAACTTCAGTATATGGCGTTCTATTGTGGTTCAAATGGCACAGCATTCAAACTTTTAATACTCTGTCATTTAAAACTAACAGATTATTTCTTTTTTCTTTTCCCGCAGAAATTTTTCATTTTGGTGAAGGGCCATTTAAATACCCACAATTTTTGCTAAAAATAAAGAAATAAATAAAAATTTAAAAACACTGCTATTCTCCTCTTGAGTTTCACATAGCTAGACCTCTAACTTTCAATCTGTGATGTTTTAAGAAACACAAGGGGTTTTCTCCTATGACCTGAAGTAGGAGCAAAATTTCTTTGCTAGTTAAGAAAAACATACAGCAATAGGATAAAAGGCCTTTTTTCTTCCTGTTTTTAAGTTACAGGTAAAAAGAAATTCCAGAAATGCAAGCAGAAACAAACAATTGAAACAGCCTTAAAATCTTAAATGTCCTGAAACATATGAAACAATGAGCTTTATCATGAAGGGACTACTTCCAGGCAGAATTAAGGAAGAGACAGGGACAGAATGGCAGGGAGTTTTCTGCTATGGTTAACATCAGTGGTTGAAGCAGGGGTCTCCACAAAATTTAGACTTTGCTACATGCAGACTAAAGCATTCTAGCCTGGGAAGCTGCTACTCTGTGATAATGGATAATGCCCTCCCTGACAGCACTGGAAGATAGTTAACCTAGAAAACATCTCAAAGTCATGAGCTCTTTGCTCACAACGAAGGCTGTGCTCATCCTATTCTGCCTCCATAAAAAACAAAGGTTGGGGCAACTTTATGAAAAACTCTTGGCATCAACAGGCAGGTAAGTAAAAGCCATGTACTACATGCAGATAACAAGACAACCCCCACAGAAAAGTAAGGCACAGGGACATAAAGGAATAGTGTTTTGTCCTAGGGCCTATAAAACACCTGGGAGGGGGGGAGGAATTTCAGTATACATGAATTTTTAAAGCCCTCACCAGATTTTTTCTTTAAAAAAGCCAAACACAACAACACCCTAGTACATAATAATTTAATAAAATTTTATAAGTTTTATATATATATATTTTTAATGCATAAGTGTCCCGGTGCTCGTAAAGATATTACTGACTTTTAGTTTCACATGAGTTTATTTGCTTCTGATGACCTTTGTATCATTTGGTTATTGAAATCATAAGTTCATGTGAACAGCACTGGAATGTAATGATTTAAAATTAGGATTATTTTTTTTTTTTTAAAGAAAGTATTCTATCAAAAGTATATACTTAGCTTAATGTTTCCAAATCATCAACCACCACATCTCAGAAAAAACACACAGAATTTCATCTTTACTACCATAAAATATAAAAGGGACTCGTGGTTTGATAACTCAGATACAGTTTCATAGCTACTTTACCTGTCTAGGTCAGATGTCAGCCTTTCAAAATTCTTAAGAATACCATAAATTTGGGCATCTTGTCCAAGAAAGCAAGGTGGCAGTAATCCATGAATATTCAACTGCTGCCTCTCCTCCAAGGTAAAAGCCATGCCCTGAAAAAAGAAAAATAAAAACCATGTATACATATATATGAGAGATAGTCCTTTTAAGAAAATTCTGCAGCAAAATACAGCACAAGGAAAGTCAGCATCAGGAAGAACTATTTCATACAGAATTAACCAGTAAGCAATGATTTTGGAAAAAAGTTTTTATTGAGTCATAAGAGAACAGGCCCAGACAGTACAGTAACTCCATCCCAGCACAAAATGAATAAAGGTCTTATGACACTACAAGACTAGTACCTGCAAAATTAAAAAGTTACAGCTGAAGAAGAGAGCAGCAGTAGATTCTCACTTATTTGTTTGGCTATCTTCTAAACACAAAGCATGGATAATGCTCATTTTCAGTGTAAACATTATGCTCTTAATATCTGGAAATTTTTCAAGATCTTGGTTATCTCAGTAAATGAAGCAAAATAAAGTAAATATCTCAATAAATAAAGTCATTGCTATCATTTTATACTCAAAGAGCCTGGGCCAGCACCTAGTAAAGTCAGTCAATAGAAACATAGTGAGTTCAATGCAAACTTACTTTGTTTTTCAAATTCACATTGTTACAGCAAGAAAAATCTGTACAGGCTTACTGGTTTTCCTTACTGCATCCAGGAAAGACATTTAGAATTATTTCATACGTTCCGTGCATGGTCACAGAACACTTAACACTTAAATCTACCTTGTAGATTGTGGCAGATACTGCAAAATAGCTGCTATTTAATGAGGTCTGTCTGCCTAAAGAATCTTCAGAAATTACCCAAGCTGTGATAAGAAAGGGATGCCTTTACAGCAGAAATACAGCCGTGGGTTTAGCACATTAGTATCAAGCACTCTGAAGTTTTACTTTGCTGTGGCAGGCAGGACTGACAGACAGGATCAGACCTTTGACAGTTTTAGGGGATAAAAAGGAATGTCAGAGTTTCTTCCATATGACCTATGAAATCTCTGCATTTGTTTCACACTGTAGGCACTGGTTGGTGACTCCACAGACGTGTTACAGCACTCATTGTGCATCATGCCTGCACTGCTCCCGCTCCAGACCTGCGAGTGTCTTTGAGGTCTCCCTTAGGTTAACACCAAAAATGTCTATAATCTTTGCAATATGCTCATCATGTAGCTTAAATACGTTCAAAATTAATGTGCTAGAGGTTAGATAGCATTTATCACCCTACCAAGAGGATATATACATACATGTGTGTGTATATACACATATATAAACAAGCCATTAGATAGTTGCTTAATACTCTACACCTATCACACAACTATATACAAAATACTTTGTTTCTTATGAACAAAAATATGTGAGAAAACACTTAGGGAGATCTGAAAGAGGAAAAAAAATGGCAATGTAATGTTTCTGCATTTACTCTCCTCTGGAAAACAAATACTACGAAGATTGTTTCACAACAACCTCTATAAACATACTAGTAGAATTTCATTGTTCACGCTACCATTAGAATTAGCTGGGTCAACAAACAATGGGAAAACACAGGTAAAGCAAAAGCACAAATACAAAAGGCATCCTTCAGTGTACATTTGCACTACTCCCGCCGTTTCAAGAGAGCAAATTCAGAGTCCTTACTCAATGCCATTACCGCCTTCGGCGCAAAACCCAGTGCGGGATACAACGCAATGAATTCATACAAGTTAGTTTGATTGTCTGGACAGGCTTAAATTTTTTTTCAGAAATACTCACCTCACAGGACTTATTCTTACAGAACAAAAATATACTATAAAATCTTCCTCTTACTAAACTTCTTACACCATTTTTAATCTAAGTAAGTTTCAAGTGGTTATGTCATTCTTGTTCGAAAAAAAGTAATTAAAAAAAAGCCCCTCAGACAATCCCACCACACTATCTGCACTAAAACAGCATTAATCAAATTGTTACCCTCAAGTGAAATGATGACCCAAAAAAAAAGGAAAACTTCATAATGAACACTTTATAGAACATCAAACATTTCCAGAACATGCTTCTCTCACACACAGAAATGGAGGGAAACAAAGTTTAATAAAAGTCAGTAACTGTTTTGCTATAGTTTTCCATGCACACATTTCAAAGGTTTCCAAAAGCATGTACAAACCCTGTTTTTTCTTGTTTCTACATTAATTTTCTGAGGCTAGGTATGTCATGAGTGTCTTCAGCTGCTATCACATTTTGAAAGTCCATGGAAGAAGGGAGAATCAACACTCTCCATGAGTTCATTCAAAATAGATCCTTCTTATCTCCAGTAGACTTTATTTTTGGCTAAAAAAACACATATAAAAGCTGTGCATGTGTGCTCACACGCACACAGACTTCAGCACCAGTTCCAAATAGTTGGATTTTAGGGAGCTGCATAGTTTTAGTGGATCTCTCAGTGCTGGCAATAACGTGGCAATCCAATTACTCTCTGCATCTCTCCTTTCCCTGTGTCTATTAGTGAAATTTTCTGAAAGAAAAAATTGAAAAGTCTGTATTTGCCTTCACTTTAAGAATATGAACTTTAATTGTTATAATAGGGTTTTCCCTCTGTTTTAAAATAAAATATATTTTCAAGAAAGACACATGTAAAGTCAATACCTCTTGTCAGGTGCCTTATTTAAAACAAGTATTTTGTCTTGGAATAGCGTATTTTCCCCACAGTGCTACAGCTCCTACAGTAAGTGTTAATTTCATTTGGGCAATACTACAAAAATACAGCACCTATCTACACCTCCTATGCTATATATGGGTTTAAAATCCTTTACTTGCATACTCTTCTTCGGCACAGATGATGCAATTTTTTCCAAGTTTCCAAAATGGAATAGTTCCTTTTTTGCCCTCAGATACCATACATGCTCAAAAGAAAAGAATTATCATTAAAACACTGTGTGATGATTTAATAAAAGAAGGCCATTTTATGCAATAGGTTTATGCTATTTCATCTGCTTGGAACAGGAAGAGCTCAGCTACGTAATTTTTGTGGTTTATGTCTAGATTTCTTGCACTAGCTTCTCAGATTTTATTTTCTTATTCAGAATTCTTATTTTTTCCTGTTTGAAGTGTTGTTTCCCAGCCATCCAGCAGAGAGGGCTCTAGGTCCAGCTTGGTTTACACATTCCTTTCTCTTCCGGAGAACCGCATTTTGTGCACACCTGGATGGGACAAATTTGCATCATCTTAAGTGTACCCCGACTGCAATAAAATATGTGGACATTTTTATTCTGCACTCTGGATTACAAATAAATTGTCCAAAACAACAACAGTGTGACAATCTGAAAGCATCTTTGCCTAAGTTTTAATTTATTCACTGCTTTATGCCTTCAAAGGATAACATATACATCATAGAGATGGAAAGTACAGTTATTATTAAGCCTCCCAAGTAGGAAATTTGAAGAACCCTAATGTTCTTCGAAGGTTGTGTTTCATATGTTTCCTTATATGCTGTGGTTTTGGTAGAACTAAGTTGTTCTTCAGCTGCCTCATTATCTTCCTTTCTCACAAACCTTTTGGTGGAATTGCTGGGTTGAGGTTTTTTATTATTCCTTTGACACAAATTCCCGCTCCTATTCTCAATTCTACAGAAAGCTTTGAGTCTAGTTTGTTCTGTTTCTGTTTTCAAGAAGTTCAACTCATTGCAAATATATTTAATTCATAATTTAATCTCTCTCCATTCATCAACTCAGTTCTTAACTATATGTCCTCTGCCCAGCCTCTCTCTTTTCCCCCAAAACCCCTCAACTACAAGGTTGTTTTAGTGCAATTGCATATACATCACTTGTCTTCTTTGGCTGCCGTATTGAAAAAGCCATAAAATAGAATTAACAGCACAGCATCACCTTGCATCAGAGAGTTTTATGCACTGGCTTTCAGCTGAATTCTCTAGCGATCCTTGAGAAAACAGAGAGCACATTCAAAATATTTTAAGAGATGTCTTAGCCTCTTCACAGTCAGCAAAGACAAGTCTTATCTCTTAATATAAATCAGATAGCATTGACAGAGTTTTTGTTCAGATAGCGTATCTGAAGCTCATCTAATTGCTATGTTTGTATAAAACACTCAAGAAAAAAAAAAAAAAAAGAGTGCATCAAACTAATGTGTGAATCCTGCCTAACCGCTAATGAGATTCAGGCTCACTAAAGGGTAGCCAGAAACCATCTCCAACCAGTATTTGTTGCAGGGATTCTCCTTCAATTCCTTTCAAGACCTAGCCTTCTTTTGTTCCAGTTCAACTAAAGTTCCATTTTTAGAAACTCCTACTCATTTAGAAAAAAAAGCTTATTTCCTTGTGTTGGCCTCACTGCAGGTATGCCGCAGAGCTATTAGCTTGACAGCACACAGGAGGAGGCTGGCTTAGAAGAGGAAACCACGTCCACATGCTAGGTCCTCTGACTCTGACTCTTTCCTCTGCCTCTGGGAAAAGATCAGGGCTCGTAAGACTTCAGGTCATCCCTGGGACTCAGGAGATAAACATCAACACCAACATCCAAACTCAAGTATTCGCATATATGTTTGAGCTGACTGGATCTCCAGAGGGGGAAGAAAGAAATGAAGAGGAAGGTGAAAAGGAAGTATATCTAGAAGTACCATCTATTCTATAAGAATACCCTATATCTATTTTCTAAGGTATTTTGGGGACAACAGAGAAGTAGGTTTATCACTGTCTGAGAGTCCATCAAAAAGTTAAAAAAACCCCTCTCAGTTTGAAAAACTCATGTTTCTTTAAACCAGAAAAGTGCAATGAACCAATTTCCATAATATCGTGAAAGAACCACCCAAATCTGAGGGACTCTGATTCGCACATCTGCTGCCATGGCTCTAAGGAGGACAGCTGGCTCTACGCCACCTCTCGCAGCCTCCCTCCACGGCAGTTGGTAACACGGCGCATAGCGAGAGGCCAGGGAGTGCTCTGCCAGATGGAGCTCTGAGAAAACCCCCCAGCTGCCTGCAACATGAGTCTGCTCAAGATCTGAATCAATTCTTTGAACAAATGGACTTACAGAGCCCCATGATTCCATATTCTTAAAAAAATGAA